TTTATTTTTTTTTTTTGAATATCACCAGAGAACACAGATGCTCGTCTCTCTCTCTCCTCTCTCCTCTCTCTTCTCTCTCTCTCTCTCTCTGTGCTCCATAAATGAGTGATGATAAACGAGAGGCCGCTGAAACGCGTCTCGTGGCTTTAACCAAAACCAAGTCAGTCGTCTCTGTCCAGATCGATGATGATGATGATGATGATGATGAGGATGAGGATGAGGAGAGGATGAGGAGGATGATGATGAGGAGGATGAGGATGAGGATGAGTGGAGATCACAGGACGTGAGCGAGGAACAGGACGTAAACGTGATGTCTGGATTCTAAACGATCCAGAGGAGACCGAACACTCGCCTCCCCTGCTGTTCTTTAATGTGTTCTGAAAACACGCCGAGTGATGGGAGGAAAGGAGAAAAACGTAAATAAAGAAAAACCACAGAGACAAGAAACATTCCACAATGCCATCGTCACTATACTGTACAGCAACCTTTAACCCCCCCCTTTTCTGCCCCCCCCCCCCCCCCCCGACCTCCTCCTCCCCCCTCCTCCTGTCTTTCAGTAACCCAGTAATCACAGTACTACAGTAATCCTTTGACCTGTTAACACAATTAACACATCTTTATGTACAACTCCTTCGTCAGTAAGTAACCGGTTTAGTCAAACCCCTACGTGAAAAAAAACCCAAAAAAAAAAAAAAAAAAAAAAAAAAAAAAAAACTAGTTCAGAAAAACAAAACAAACAAAAAAAAACAAACAAAAAAAAACAAACAAACAAAAAAAAATACAAGAAGTGCCGTACAAATAGAAGCCTAATATTTTTTGTTTTGGTTTTGTGTGAGTGTACTGTACACCTGTATAATGTATATTTTAATATTTATATGCAGCTGTTGTATTAAAGTATATTTTTAAAATAAAAATGGCGGCAGTGTTTCTTTTAATGTAAGTTTAGAGAACATGGACACGCAGTATATGACACACAGTGTATCTCCTTATATCACCTATAAAGAGATATATCCATATCACACATGTACATCTGGATATATGAAGATATACATTTATTATGTATATCAAACACTCATAGTTAAATTTGTATTTTAAAAAGTCTATATGATGAATTTTTATATGGTGTAGCATGTTGTTGTGGCGATATTAACACATATTTTTAGGGGTTAAACATATATGTCAATATATGAATTTGTGCTAATGTCTCAAAGGTTTCATCTATAACTTGAACATTTATGTTTTTATTTATATTTATATGTTTTTACATATATTACGTTTGTGAATGTGTTTCTCTGACTAAATGACTCCTCTAAACCAGTGGTTCTCAAAGTGGGGTCCGGGGACCCCCAGGGGTCCTTGAGGAGGTTCCTGGGGGTCCTCAGCAAAAAGGAAGTAGTTTATTTTCACAATAATTTAATCCACAAGTAACACAATAACAGGATGTGTGATTATTTTGATCATGAGTTTCAAAATAAAACATCTAAAAGCAAAGATCAGACGGGGGTCCGTGTGTCAGTTCAGGGGTCTCTGATGTGAATAGGTTTGAGAACCGCTGCTGTAAACGAAGGTAAAACTCTTGACGAGAGTGTTTCAGGTGTTTTCTCTTGAGTCAGGATTTTGTATTTCCAGCTGTGTGACCAGCTGCAGGTCATCGATGCTCCACAGCACCACCAGCAGGTCGCACCACGTCACAGCAGCAGTTATGAAAGTGGCTTTTTACATAACTTCATCCTGAGGGACTGAAGGCAGCGACCGCCCTCTGTGAGTTTTGGCGTCCACCGGCAGCGATTGTTTTACAGGCTGGCGACGGCTCTCACCGCAGGAACCGACTCGTACCGGCTCCCTGTTGACAAGTGCCAACTGTCGGCCGTGCTCCTCCTCTGAAGCCCTCAGTGTTGTCTGACAGGGGAGCAGCTTTCACACTTCCTCCCACAGTGAGAAGCTCTCACAATCAGAATCTTAACAAATATCGTTAAGATCCACAAACCTCAGTGTGTAGTTTTCCTTAAAGACATTTCTCAAAACCAGGGCAAAGAAAACCAAAACCAGAACCAAAGCTCCATGGTCAGACACCACTGGAGGTCAAGTTCATCCTCGACCTTGGAAACAGCAGCTGAGAAAACAAACTCATCATTTAGTAGCTGTTCTGGAGCTTTCAGTCATATCAGAAGATCTTCATCAGCAGGTGGAGTTTGCCTTGCCCAGTTTTCACTTTCTACTGAGCACTTCTTTCGTTCTATGTTGATTTAAAGCTCCATATTTTCTTCTTCTTCTGTGTTTTATTTGAAGTGTTGATCCATACGAAGATATATTTGTGGTTTCAAAAACCAAAAACCATCTCAGTGTAGTTTCACATCTCCTCTCTCAGGCTTCTCTCTGGAGCTCTAGTAACAACAGGTCGGTGAGCCAATCAGAAGAGAGGAGGCTCTGAGCCTCTCTTCTGATTGGCTGACTGTTTTCTGAGTGATCCAATAAAAATAAAGCAGATTTCAGGTAAAAACTCTCAGAGAAACCAAATCCTGTAAAGGTTTGGATGGTGGGTCCAGGTGGGCGGGGCTTGGTGACTGCTTTGTTGTGACATCACAAAGTTCCAGAAGTCCTGATGGCTGGTTTTAAGGCTCAGTTTCTGAATACAGGCTGTGTGCATTTCTCTGTGGACTGAGGCTCTGATACTTTCACAGTATTAATATAGAAGCTAGAGCTGATCTATAATCACACTACACATGGACACAGACCTTTAGACTGGAAGGAACTTTAAAAACTGAAAGCTCCAGAGCAGCTACTAAATGGATCGTGTGGATCTTTGTTTCCTCAGAGGTGACGTGACTGTTGGGAACCAGCCGACTGGGTGTAAAGGGCAGTTTGTGTGTGAGGCGGCGTGGAGGCGTAAATGCCCTTTTACACTAACTTCATCAAGACCAGCCGTCTAACACAGCCCTTCCTGTCTGCAGTGGAAACAACACAGGAGTCGACATTTCTTACAAAAAAGGATCCTTTATTGGATTGGAATTGTTTCTATTCACATTGATGTTAAAAGGTACCTTAATTACAAACATCAAAGTCAAGTGTTCCCTTCAGTGAATCACAGTTCAACATTGCACGACGCCCAGCGCTGGACAGACGACACTCAGCGATTGTTCCCTTGTCAGGAGTGAAAACAGAGGAGCAGCAGAAATCCTACAGTCCACATCAGGATGAATCAGGACGAGGTCTTGAGTTTCTGATTCAGTTTGACAATGGCGAGGTAAATGAGACACATCAGGAGTGAAGAGCAGAACCGACTCTGTCAGAGCTCAGGTTTCAGACTTTTTGGCTGCTGTGTCGGAGGTTTACTGGTTCGGGAGTCGCGAGTGGGAGAAAGTGCGACTGAAGCGCAGATGAAGACGGAGGTTACAAACTCGCACTGACAGTTTGACAAGGTCGCGTCAGAACTCATCTGTGTCAGGGCGAAGAGAAAGGAAGTGTGTACAGAACATATTTAGCTCAAGTGGAATCACATTTGAAAACATTCACACAGACAGAAAGCTTTTTCTTTTTACAACAAGAATCATCATCATCAGCATCATCATCATCATCATTTCATGTGATGAATCACGTCCCACGTCTTTGACTAAAAGCAACAAAATTAACCACGAATCATGATTTAAAAAAGAAAAAAAAAAACTCCCACTGTGGGATCGACACATTATTTAACTTCTCAGGAAGTTTCAGCAGGTGCTACTCGGACACAGATTTGCATCGTCACAGTTGCTGCACAGCTGTATCAGTCTGTCAGCACAAAACACGATGCCAAGACTCACTGAACAAACACGAGCTTCGTTTACAGCTCTGAAATACAGTAGATGTAACAACGCAATAAAATGGACCCTTTTTGTTTTTTTTATCCCTGGGTAAGGCTTCTCTTTTCTTCTTAACAATGGCTTTAAAGGAGTTCATTTTGAAAACACATTAAATGTTCAACACATGCTGAGATTTTTTTTTGTGTCAGCATCCATCTTGGCCCCTGGGATAAGACGAGATCTGTCCCTCTTTGTGGAGTTTTCTGCGTTTAGATCTGTTTAAATCAGGCCTCCGGGGTCTTCGCCTGTTTTCAGCGCCTCCGTCCAAAACGCTGAGCAGATCTCTCGGCTTATTGCGGCTAAAACGCCTCCTGGCTCTGTCTTTGCTCTGATAAAAATCTGGGCTGGACGGGGGTCTTGGCAGGACAACAGTGGCATTCAAGTATCAAAGCACAATCTGAGGCCAGAGCTGTGCCGCTGACATCATCGGCCCGCAGGACGGCTTTCGAGGAAACCGGAGAGCGGGTGCACACGAAACACGATCTGTGATGGTGGAGACGTTGTGCCGCACACACGCTGTGATATCACCTCACACTGAAGACTGAAGCTAAATCAGTATTTGGGGGTGTGAACGTTTTAACTGTTGCTGCTTCTTCACCTTTGTGCTTCCAAAACTGTTTCTTGTCCCCAGGATCAGACAGAGTCACGTGTGCTTGTTAAAGACAAAGTCTGGACGCAGATGATGAAGTCAGATGTGTGTGTGTGTGTGTGTATATATATATATATATACACACACACACACACATACATACAGTTGTCAGTCAAACTTTTCTTAAAGTGTTACACTGACATTTTTTCCATTAGTGGGGTGAAACTGTTGAGTTTAGCGTCGGCGTGGTGCCAGAGTGGAAGGTCTGATGGTGTCATGTGAATGCTAACATTAGCATGGTGGAATGCAAAGAGTTACCCATTACAAGCTAACATGCTAGGATGAGCCTTCTAATATTTCACGTGTTGCGTAAAGCTGCGTTCATGTGACACCGGAGCCAGTGTCTGATCTGTAAAGAGCCTTTATGAAAGCTGTGACATATGGAACTTGGCTGTGGTAAAGAAGCCTCTCTGTAAACGAGGCCTGAAAGTTGCTTTACAGTCACATGTGCCATACATCATGTCCCTGACCTCTGTCTCATACTAAGTGGTTCACATAAACCGCCGCCGCCGCCGCCGCCACCGGCTGCTTCCAGAAGTTTAACTCCCTCCACCTCGGCGGCCTCCACATGTATTAGCATTTATCTGGATATGAATTTTGATTTGTTCAAAGCTGCGTATCTTTGTGAGCTCTGCATCAAGCGTCACGTCAGCAGAGCCACACACATGAGGAAGAATCTCATATGACACTAAAGCTTCGTTAGCCGTGACCTCACACTGCAGCTGTGTTTTAAATCACGTATTGTGAAAATCTGAATCACATGTGGGTGATTTGCTTTTTTCTCTCCTATGAACCTTCAGGTAACTTTACCTGGACGGATGTTGACTCACCCTCAGTCCTCGCTGCCTTCTCGCTCAGCAGTAACGACGTTACCATGACACTGAATCCAGGTTCAGACCGACATGAAACTGGAAACCAGACCTTAAAAGGAGCCAGCAGCATTTGATCTGTGATGCGGACCTGACTCTTTTCATCCAAAAATTGTCTTGAAGAGAAGAAAGTGAACCCAGAGAGGATCTTTCCAGTCTCAGACGAGCTGCGAGTTTAAAGCCGATCAAAGAGTGAACAGAGTTTGATTTCCAGGCTCATTAAACTGTCTCTGTCATGTTTTTTCCATGCAATAAAAACTTCACTTCACTTCTTCCTGTTACAGTAAGTCAAACACGTCACGTGGTGAAAAAACATCCTGTAGGTTTTTGGGCCTGGAGCCTCAGGGGAGGAGCGCCTCTCCCTCCTCGGCCCAGAGGAGGTTCAGGGCCTCGGCCTGCCGCTGCTCCCGCTGGTGGATCCTCCGCAGGCGCAGGATGTAGAGCAGGATGGCCAGCACCACCACCAGGATGCAGAGCGAGAACAGGTGGTGGTTGTAGACGAAGGAGGAGCGCAGCCAGCTGGGGTGGCTCTGCCGCAACGTTTCCTGCTGCAGGTCCCTGGAGGAACAGGAGGAGGGGAGGGGGCGGCAGAGGAAGACGTGAACAGACGAGCTGACACATGTTTCACACAGCGACAGCAGCAACATGAAAACACAAAATCATCCATTCGTCCCGTTAACGAAGCGTTTTCTGTGATGCTCTACAGCAACCTGACACTGAGGGCCTGAGCATATCAAACGTCTGTCCTCGGGATTTCATTCGTTTCTGACTCTGAGAAAAACAAAAACAAAACTACTGTCTCTCTGAACTCTCTCTTTTACCATTTAGGCTCATTTAATTTACTTTTGATAACCAATGAATTAAGAGAAAAATTTATTTTTTATTTTTTGGGAAACCATTTCAGTTTTTTTATTAGAAAATATATTATTATTACAATAATATTTTTCTATTATCTTTCATTTCTTTATTAAATATTAACTGCTAAGTTTAATTTGGGAGTTTGATGTCACACTTTGCATCATGTGTCTCTGAGCTCATTTGCATATTGTGATTTGTTTCCTGGTCAGTACAAGACCTGCATGGTGCCCTGCTCTGTGTGTGTGTGTGTGTCTGTGTGTCTGTGTGTGTGTTGTAATGAGGGCGTTACCTGAGAGGCAGGAAGCGGGTTTTGAAAAGGATGGCTCCCAGCGTCCACTGGACCTCCTTGTCATAAACCAGCTGGGCAGTTTTCAGACTCGGGTAGTCGGTGGGGAAACGGAAACCAGAGTGCAGCACCTGGTACATCCAGGCCGATTTGAAGCACTGATACCTGTGTTGACAAGCAGCAGCAAAGAGGGATAAATGAGCCGGTATTCACAGTGAATATCAGTGTGTTGCAAAGCTGCCACCTCCAGCAGTGTCGATCTGGTCCGACCTGCTCCACCTACAGGCGAGAAGCAGCAGTTCACACCTGCAGACGGAGACGCTCCACCGAGAAAATACAAGTAACAGCTCCTGCAGTTTTTCACCAGCAGACACTCAGTTTTACCAGCAGAAACCTTTTTAAATGTGCTGTTGTGTTTTTGACGTTCTATATTTAATATCTTAAACTAAAATGTGAAACGGAGCACATGATCAGAGCGTCGTTTCCTCTGTCCTCCAGGAACGAGGAGCTGGTGACTGTGCAGAAGGAGATTATAACTACATCATTAATATGCATTGGTGGTGATCTACAAACGTGAGTACTAAAGTATTATTGTTACCCAGCATTTCCAAAAATGTCTGGATGTGTGTGTGTGTGTGTGTGCCTCCTGCTCATCATACATTGCTGTGACTCTGACTCTTTCTCCAGGACGTTTACACTCAGGCTCAGATGTCACACGAGCCTCGGTGTTCATTTCCTGAAGATCACGTCTCTGTCAGAGCCAGAGGTTAATGTGGAGCCTGGTTCGTGTGTAGAAAGTGAAATTAATCATAAATTCATTGACAAAAAATCCTCAAAATATCTGGTGTTCACAGCCATTAGCTGAACTGAATTTCTATTTGAATATTTGACATCCACTGGAGGTTTGAGTGACTCTGTGATTTCCATTTTTATTAACTGCTGAACACAAACCCGGATCACGTGTTTGCACAGAGGCCTGTCGGTGATGATACTGACATGTCCACATCTGCAGGTCGAAACTGCTGCTGCTGCTTCTCATTCCTGTTGACAGTGACTGAACAGCTCCTCCCTGTGGAGGCTCTGCAGCTTTCTACACGCAGCTGTAACATGCCATTAAAACCTATTGGGTATAAGGTATTACACAGCAGGGCTTTCCATTAAGAACCAGTTCTAATTCTGCATCATTGCCTGTAATTAAATTACAGTTTTCTAATTATTTATCACTGATTCTAAGAGTCTAAACAGCATCAGGAAAAAAGGCCGAGGACTGATCTGTTCTCACACTGATGAAGACTTCCAGCTCGGGATGAAGAGAGGTGAACCTACTTGAGTCTGCTGATGTCGGCCTGCTGAGCGAACAGCTGGTCGTCCAGACGCTGTTTCAGTGTCGACCACTTGGTGGAGCAGTAGTCCTGGTAACAAACCGCGACAAACGCCGGTAAACAAACAAACAAACAAACACGAGCGCAATCATTTTTCTCAGCCCGGTCGCTCTATATGACGTGGCAGTGGTGCGTTTGTGGTCACCTTAGCAGCTCGGGAATATTTGTCACTGTCGTACTGTCCTCCGATCCTCAGCACGTCCTCCATACAGTAATAAAACTCTGAGAAGCCGTAGAACTCGCTGTTGCTGAAGTTGATGGGAGCCTGAGAATGAAAACACAAGAAATGTAATGAAACAACTGAAAGAGAGCGTGTGATTTTAATTTTGTTTATTTCTGAAATAAATAGGGACATTTGACAGAAATAAACATCACTGTGAGCTGCTGTGTTTTGCTGTTAATGAGTATATTTTACTAATAATAATTACCCACGTATTTAAAGGTAAAATATGTGATTCTTTATCTGAGAAAGAGGATTTAAAACAATATTTAATGATTATAAAAGTGATGCTAACGAGCCTAGCGATGACACTGGAGAAGGAAGCAGGTGAAGTGAGTTGTACCTGATAAACGCCCCCTGGAGACATGGTGCCGTTGTGGAGGCCGAGGAAGGGCTGCACAGCTTCCTGACATCGAGCCCAGTCACCCTGACCCCGCAGGTGCAAGGTGTGGTTGCCCCTGACAACCGACTCAGACAGACCGACGGGCAGACACGGGTCCAGGTATGGTTTCTCCTCGCTCAGGCCCGTCTGTGCGGTTAGAAACCTGGACCAACAGGAGCATCGTACCCATGTTATGTATGTTCAGACGTCACAGTGAGTCTCTATCGTGGATTATTAAAGAATTAAATCAGACTTCATCTTAGTATAATTACCATAAACAACAGACTGACCGGCCTGTAAACTGTATTTTACATCACCGACCACCTGGCCGAATTTCACAGATTAAAAAAAAGTAAATACTGCCTGGGGTTTGTGGGAAATGTAGTCTTAATTTTGAATAACACTAATAATACTACTGGTATGAGACAAGATAAGAGAGGCGACCAATCATCTGGAGCCTTGTCATACACACATTGTGTGTGTGTGAATGTGTGTGAATGTGTGTGAATGTGTGAACCTGTTCTTGGCGAGTGTCTTGTTGACCAGCTGGTCCTCGTAACGCTGCCTGGCCATGTTTCCTCCGAAGCCGAGGAATGTGGTGACGTAGACTCGGTACACGTGTTGCGTGTGCTCGACGTCGCAGCCCAGATTAAACTCTGCGAGAACACTCTTCCCTGCCTCCTCCTGGAAACACACACTGACGCGTTACACTGCTGCAGACGATGATGAACACGACGACTTGTATATGTCAATGATGAACAGGAAATTAATTAGCAGCTATTTTGATACTTGATTTGTCATTTTTCAAGAAAAGATGCCAAATATTTGATGCTTTCAAGCCCTCAGATGAGAGTATGCTGCGTTTGTTGATGTAGAGTTTTATAGACTAAACGATTAATCCAGAAAAATAATCAGCAGATCAATCAAAATAAACATTATTTGCAGTCCTAATCAATAACAGCTCTCCAGCGTCTGGAGTTAACACAGTTCCTCCTGCAGTAACAGCTGTCTCACCTCCTCCGGTGAGTTGAAGGTGATGGCACTGGGCACCTCGTAGGCAATCTGCAGTGAAGCTCCGCCCATATCCATGATTCCCACTGTACGCCGCCTGCTGATTGGCCGCTGGTTCTGAGACCCGGTTGTCACCTCGACCGTGGCGTCCTCTGAGAAACACAACAGATTTAACAACTTAACAAAATTGGGATTTGATTACTGGGTCAAATGTAATCCTCCACACTCACCCTCGTCAGCGTGATCGAAGCGGCCCAACACAAAGTTAATGCCGATCCATGCGTACACTCCTTCAGGGTTAAGCAGCCATGATGGAAACAGACAGGTGATAGTTCATTAACCACTAAAACCAGTATCAGTGAGAAACAACAACACCAGAGTGAAAAAATAATAATAATACGTCGTCTCACCCTCCTGTTTCCCTGAGATGACCTCGGCATGTGAACTAGAGAACAGGAAATCAAACTCCAGGGGAACATCAGTGACCAGGTCCTCCAAGATGGCCGCCTGTTGGCTACACATGGAGAAGTACAGAACATACGTGACACATACAGCTCTGAGCAGCATTAAAACTGCTGCGTAAACATTAAAAATGGCCACAAAAAGCTGGAGAAAAGTGAAGTCTGATACAGCAGCTCTGCCATTAATCCCGAGAGACCAAGACTAAAAAAATGAAGCGTGTAGTTTGTAGTTATGTTGCATGTAAGTATTTCTTCTTCCTGTATCACAAAGTAACAGAAAGGGAGACTTTGCAGCAGTGAACCGTTAAAACTAGGATATTGGAGTTTCCTTGAATGCACCAATCAAGACATGTATCCACAGGCTGAAAACTAAAAAATATTATAAGGTTTTATCCTATTAAAACATGATTTTATTTTTATAAAAGCTGACGCACGCTGCAGCATCACATGCGTTTCTATCTACCTCTCCGGCAGCAGCCTCATGCCGGCGGTACAGAGGATGTAGAGCGGCGTCTCCTTGTGTTTGCTCTTCGGGACGTGAGCGGCGGCGAAGCTGAGGAGAGGGTGGAGGTAGTCACTGGCCCGCGTCGGAGTCTTCGCCAGAGTGGAGATACCTGTGAGGACCACAGGTACGTACACACGTCAGCACAAACGAATCGAACGAGATTCACGTTTGTTTTCACAAGACAAACAACTACAGATACAACCAGACACATGCAGAAGGTTAATTACAACACAAACATAGAAATTAAGATGCTCTTTCTGTCAATGCTTTCAAAATAAAAGTCCATCATGAGTCATGGATTTGGGGGTCAATAAAGGTCATAAAAAAAATCCAAATCCAAAACATCCTGACAGGTGCTGGATTGTTCAGGTCGGTACTGATGTCGATATTTCAGAGTAAAAACACGATGGTAAGAATATAATCAGCTGATATTATTCTAATAAAAATCTGGTTATTAAAGAATTATTGAAAGAATTTTGTGGTCAAAATATCCAGTTGAGATTCTGTTTCTAAATCATCTCAAACATTAAGTATTTTTTCCTTGTTACTTATCATACATGATGTCATAGAAGTATCTGAGACAAGTCAATATTTCCCGATAATGACAAGCGGCTGAGTTCATTAATTGGGCTCCAGCTGAAATCAAACTGTGAATGTAAATGAATAATGTCTGCCATGACAACAGCGTGAAGCCCGTCTGTGACGTCCCGGGGTTCAAAACGCCACGTGGCCTTTAACGGCTGCTCCTGGAACAAACACAGTGAATCTAATCTGTCTACTGTGACTGATGTAAAACAGACTGTGACTAATGAATTCAACTAATATCATCAAAACAAGGAACATCTCATCCACAAGATGAAACGACAAGTTTCCCATAAAAGCAAAAACAGTCATAAAATAAAACGTGTTTGAAATCTTTTTTCTGTTTTCCGTGAATGTTCTCTCTTCTCTCGCTCACACACTCTCACTTGTTGGCTCGGAGCCAAACGGCGACACAATGATACGCAATGATCCTCATGCTGGCACCAACATGTTGGACAACACTCAGTGAAGTCTGACTAACTCTCTGCCGCTCAATGGCTCCATTGTAAAGTCACACAATAAGACAACAGCGACAGTTCAAGACCCACAATATGACCAAATCACTGTAGAATTTTTGCGGCATTCCCATTTGTGAAGCATTTGCATAGTACATATCTTTTTTTAAATAACAACTCTTAAACAATTAAAACACTGATGCTAAATAAATAGAGCCCCAGAGAGTTTCTGCTTTTGTCTTGATTGACTCTTGATCAAAAAACTCTTCTTCTTTCCTGCCGTTCACTGGAAATAATGAGTCTGTTCTGCACAAAGGAACTACAGTTGTCCGTGGACGACAGCAGAAACACTCGTGCATGATCTTACAGATTTAGAACCTCAGCAAACCAAGAGCCAAGCTTTGTTTGATCACTGGTTTGTGTTTAAGACTATGGGAGGAATCTAACACACACGCTTCAGCTGTGAAGCACAAACACACGGTTTAGTTTCATAAAGATCACAGGTCACATGACAGGATGATGACTGAGCTTCACTTCCTCACCAGGTTTGATCTTCTTGACGACAGGTTTGTGGTCGTGGTCCCTCATCTGTCGGATGTCCAGCAGGGTGTGGGGGTTCCCGTTATGGGGGGGCCAGTAGTACACGAAGACCCGAGAGCCGCTGCTGCCACAGTCCACCACGATCCCATAGTTCAGAGCGGGGTTGAGGACGTCGGTGGCCTCCATAGACTCAGCGACGGAGAGGTACCTGCAGGAGAACAAACATTTTGAAGCTGAAGAACAGATTCATGCTCATGTATGAATGTTTATTTACTGTACTTGGACAAAGCACAACTAATAAACCCTGAGATCTATGTATTCAAATATACTGAAATAACAACATTCTTTTCTAAAATCATCACTGCATCATCCATTTTTATATTAGACTCTGTTATTCATAGATATTATATTTTCACACCATATTCTCTATCACATCGATACTATTCCTGAACAACAAGTGTGATCATATGCAGCCCACTGCCACAGGTTTATATCACACTCACGACATTACGCCTGATGCTTTGGCTCAAATCCTTGAGCAAACAGCAGGTGGAAAACATTTGAGACGCCACAGGCTGAGGGTGTGAGTGCACACCTTCCAGTCTTCATGTAACACGGTGAGAATCATCCACGGCACCATCCTCCCTTTACTTTAAGCTAGTGTGTTAAAATACAAAAACAAAGTTTCCGCCTGTTGCCGGGGATTTGGAAACAAAACGACAGAGTGTGTTTAACTCGTATAAATGATCTTTGTGCTCATATCTGTCCTTGGCTGCTGAGCAGAGCAGCTGCAGTCAGTCTCACAAACTGAGCTCAAGTCACTTTGAGCTTAAAAACAAAACTGATAACTCACCTCACAAACATGATTATCAACTGGCTCTGTTTACAGAGGGCCAGCTGTGACTGTGAGTTACACACAGACGGAAACATGCCTGAGTTATATAATGTTTTTAATAATAATAATAAATACTTCTTGAGCGATAAACTTGACTCTGAACTTCTCTGACAGTTAGCTGATTATGAAATACACTTACAGTCACAGCGTGTTACAACATGTCACCTCACCATCCTGTGGTGGTCAGTGCTGCTTCCTTGAACTGACTCAACAGACAATATGTTGTTTAGCTTAGTAAAAAGGCAGCTCTGAGATCTAAAGCTTTGAGACCATTAATGATCCTTGTTGATGGTAACTGGAAACAGGTACTGCACCTAAAGAGCTCCAAACGGCATCTCATTTAGGGCTGCACGATATACAGGAAAAAAAAAATCATATTGCAATTATTTTTGGCAGATATTGCAATATGAGTCACAGTTTCAATTTCTTAATTTTTGGAAATGATTATGATGTGATTTTTGTTGGGGCTTGTACCAAACAAACATTTGGAGAATATAATTTGTAGGCGTTTCCGTAGCACCACAACGCTTCTGATGCTAACAATGCAGCTCCTGTGATGTGGATTTTGCACTTGGCCATGTTGCCATTTCAATTATATTTCAATTAATTGTGCAGCTCTAATCTAATTGTAAAATTATATTAAAGGACGCTTGTACTTTTACACACTTTTAAACTTCGAGATGTGTGAAGTGGATGGAAACCCTCTGTCACTCTGCCTCTCTGTACACGCTGTTCAGGTTGAACAGAGCTCTTCCAAAATCACAATGTAAACCAGGCCAGTGAGGATCGTTGGCTGTGAGCCAGTGACATTAATGTGTTCTCTGTGATTGCTCATTTAAATGTCACTATAGAGAAATATACAGCGGAACTGTTGTCACTAACCCAAATTTATGTTGATTTTATTAGATGGTGATATGATTATAAAATAAGGATTTTTATTACGGCAGCACAGCAGCCACTGAATGACTCTTGGTGAACATGTACTGTTTATAGGACCAGAAATATGTAAACGAGAATGTAATAACATGGGTGTCAGTGAACACCATGTGGATATATGTGCTGTAAAATGACAGTTTGGTCTTTAACATGTATCTAGGTCAGCTAAATGGGGGCTAAAGATGACATGTGTCTTCACTTTTACAACTACTTCTTTAATTTCTCATCTCCAGTAATCACCATATCTGTCCACTCACTTGTTGACTCGGGACCCAGGCCTTCGCTGGGGGCCCCACAGCTGCCTCTGGTAGGTCCCCAGGAAGAGGAGAGTGGAGGTGATGAGGAGCAGCAGCAGCAGCAGCAGCCTCTGTCTGGGAGCGCAGCCCAGAGACAGCAGGGACACGCTGCAGTACCAAGAGGCCGGCAGGCAGGAGAAAGTGATCCTGCAGAGGAGGACAACACAACATGAAACTACGATAAACACAGTGAAGTGTGACTAACTCTAATCAGATATAGTTATATAGAAAAAAGCTACAGCACATATAATAAAGGGTCAAACACCAGGGCTTGTCAAGTTTATTATTAGTTTATTACCTTGCCATAAGTCCACCTTGGCAGAAGACAAGATGTCACAGTCGTCACCTCATGGCGCCTGCAGTCTGATGACGATCCTTTTCTTCTGCCTGAGGGGAAGATGAAGGAGAAAAATCTCTACACTGTTTAACAGTACCATACTGGCTAAGGAGGTAAAGCGGTTAGTCCACGAATCAGAAGGTCGGTGGTTTGATCCCCAGCTCCTCCCCCATGTAAAGGTATCCTTGGGCCAGATACAGAACCCCACATGGCTCCTGATGGCTGTCCCATCAGTGTAAGAGTGTGTGTATAAATCTACGTGTCAATTGGTGAATGTGGCATGTAAGTGCTTTGAGTGGCCGATAAGATCAGAAGAGCACTATATAACTGCATGTCATCCACCATCCATAACATCTTAATTAAAGCGGGTGAAATAAACACAAACATATTTTACTTTAATTTAAAAAAAAATGTCTAATATAAGCGATATTACTATGGGAGTCTGGCACTCTATAGCCCGTTGTAGCTCTAAAATGTTTTAATTCACCCAATTTGTTTGTTGATTTATATCCCAGTAGCATCAATAATTGAACCTACTGCCTTATCAATACTGTACTTTCTAGTATTCCTCCATCTCCTTATGGTCTACCACCACGATATTTTCATATTATCCTGTGATATTTCTATGACATCCCTCTACAAATAGTGTATGTTTCAGTATTACTTCAGCTTTTTCCATACAACCCGTTATAAAGAGGGCAACTAGCTTATCTCGCAGTTACATAAGCTAAAGCGGTTGCATAAAAACACAAGAGCTGAACAAACACATACAGAGAATTGATGTTGTATATGATCCCCGTTAGCTTAACCACTGACGCGTCTACCAATGTAGCGACTGTTACCGGCTAATGATACGTTTATGAACTACGTTTATGACCGTTAGAGAGCATCAATATGCTAGCACGCTGTGATATAAAGTTACCTGACGGAGCCTCTCCTCCGCCGTTACGGTAAACTCCGCCGGTGAAATGTGTTGTTGCTTCGACGGGAGAGATAATAGGTCCCTGGACTTCACGGAGAGGATTTTAAAACACGACGGCGAGCCGAAGAAGAGGAAATGACCGAAGAAATCCGACAGCTTTCCGGTCGGCTCGTACACCACGTCATCATATACGTAATTTGTCCGGAGGTGGACGACTGCTGCGTTCCGGTGCTGTAGGAAAAATGAATTCTCCACCCGTTAAAGTGTAAGCTTGGAATTGGGAGAACAAAATGCAGTAATTCCTGACTTTTTGACACCGCTATCATACAGTTAGCTATCTATCTAACTTGTTTGCTAGCACAAAATGGCGCCTTTCAGGGTCGTGGTGCTGCACAGTTTTTGATTTATTTGCAAAAATTTTGTAAAACATTTGTCATTATGGATTATTGAGTGAATACTGAAGGACAAAATATCAATTTTATCAATTTGAAATTCCATCTACAACACAATAAATTGTGCAGGAAGTGATACTACCGGAAGCCACTGTATGTGAATGTCTTTCCGTACATACAGTATATATACCTATATATGTTTTATAGAATAATTGTATTTCTTATTTGCAGATTAATAAATAAATACAATCCATTTTGAATTTGGGTTTCATTAACTGTTAGGATGACAAATAAACTGGCATACATTACAAAGTTAAGAAATTTGGATCAGAAATGTTTATAATTTGGAGGGAGTTTGAGAAACACCTGAAGGCAGCACATGCCATCTAGTGGAGACATGAGAGCCTGCTGTAGATGACTTATGACTGTAGATGACTTCTTGTTTTATGGAGTTTATGATTGTCACTAATCCCTTTATTCAGCCTGAATACAACACACTGTGTAAACAATGACATTCTATAGGAGAAAAAAAATGAATTAACATATCAGTAAGGCTACTGTATTGTCAATTACCATCAAACTTCTGTTAGTTTAATGACACAAATCCATCAATTAAGATGACTTAGAAAACCTTATCATATAGCCTATTCTAATGATCAAACATGAGATTAGTTTTCTCCTCGCAGACTAAGAATATTCTGTCTACAATATCAACTGACATAATAAAACCCATAAAACAAAAACAAAAGGTTCACAAGTAACATTAATTTGAGTCATTCAAGCTGGACACTCAGATTGGGACATTGTAATAGTCTATAGCCTTTCTCAAAATGTATCAATAACTGTAACAGCTACTGATCCATTTGATCAGTTAGATTTTAGTATTTTTAATATGTCTTTACATGAGAGGTCATGGCCTACAGGACACAGCCCAGGGGCCAGAGGTCAGTCCGTGTGAAGTGACTGGTAACATTTCTTGTTTGAATATCAAAGAGCTCACTTAGACACTAAATCACCACAAACAGAGACAAAACACTCACCAAAAGGCACAAAATAACCACAAAGAGACAAAAACTCTTAAGTCTAAACAACTTTTTAAATACGTTTTGGTAATTAAGTGAACAAGTTAACTTGTATTTTTTACTTATATTTTAGGTCCCAAATTATGTATTTTAAAGTATTTATGACGCAATGTTACAGATTGAATGTGGGACGTCCTGTTTAAAACTCTTCCCGTACATACATGTGAGCTCCTGCTGTTACAAAAGCGTCAACACCCACTGACGCAGAATCGCCGCCCACTTTATTTGCCCGCCTCATTTTATGACTAAATCGGCCAATTGAAGGAACTCTCGGTGATTGACAGTCATCTTATCCAATCAGCGTCAGTTTCTAGCGTGACTCACTGACAAACCCACCCGCTTACTCTCCCGGTTCCCGGGATACACCACAGCCTGCTGCCAGCCTGCTGCGCAGAGACCCGCCAATACTTTCTCTGGCCGGCTGGGATACCAATTAAACTCCCAGGAAGATAACAACGACAGGCGGGTTGCTGAAGTCCTCTGATTGAACACACTTCACGGACTTAACTCTTTGTCATTTGAATGGAAGCGGACGGTTTCGTGTCCCGGCGAACGTCCGTGGAAACACCGGGCGTTGATAGCCGGGTTGCAGGCGCCGCAGCCGGGGCAGAGTTTCGATGGCTAGGCGGCAGGCTACTGGACGCCACTGGGGGATTTGTTGGGTCTCTTCCACCAAGAATGACAGGGGAACAGGACTTTGCCCCGGTGCTGCATCGAGCAACTCCGGAGACCTCGACCTCTGTCGAGCCAGAAATAGACTATGAAGGACTGCCTCAGGGAGTAGCCACCAGCACACACATGCTGGCAGGAGCCGTGGCTGGAATCATGGAGCACTGCCTCATGTACCCCATCGACTGTGTCAAGGTATCAGCACAAAAAATACAACTCTCAGTTTATTTTATAGCACGTCCGGGCCCAGTTTATGTCACACTGTTCGCAGCCACTGGCTTCATAAACCTGGAGTAAACGTAGGCCTGAATACAAGCCTGAGCCCGATTAGGCTACAAGCTAACAGTGGTAACCTTGCTAACAGAGGTCAGTTAACTAATAAGCGTTACTTAAAAAGGAAACAACGCGACACAACATGGTCAAAGTGAAAATCTAAACATGAGGGTGCATGTTTACCTCAGCTCAGCTTTCGTATTGGCAGATATTTGTGTAGTAACAGACTAATGGGTTTGACAGTTGCGTCTCCTCTCACTGTGCTAGCACGCTACACACAAACTAGCTTACCGGCTAAAGCAGCAGATGCAATCTTTAGCTAACATGAGTCCATTATCGGACACGTCTTTCGTTGGCATTTCTCATCTGTATTGCTGTGAACTGACATGATGAATGAAACGCCTCACCATGGCACTGTTTTTAAATAGATCAGGGGAAGGCATATGCCACATTTTGTAACCCAACACGACTTTATCGCAGTTTAAACTCAGTTGGATATAGCCACGTACCACTTAAGTTTGATTAGGACTTTGTTATTCCGGTTTACAGACCTTAACCCTTGTACTTTTGTAAACAAATAACGCTACTTATCAGGGACTATTGGTAAAAGAAGCCCGTGCAAAAGCTGAATTAACAAGGATGTAGCATTAGCTATGTGCCCAACAATGAAGTTGGTTGTCTCAACGCACCAAACAAATAAACACAGATTGTATAAACGTAGATCTGTTCTCAGTTCGAATCTTGTTTACATTGTTAGGTTGAGGTGTGTTTTAGTGTAGAGACATCATTGAGGACTTGAACTGTCAGGAAAGGTCATGTCGTAAATTCAGTGTGAAGAAACAGGAAAGAGTGGATGATTAACTCAGGTGGGGCAGCAGTAACTAGATTAAACAGTCGACTGTCCAGATAAAGCGATTCTTGGAAGTGAAACACCTAGACCTGGTAGAAGGAAGTGTGGTAGTTGTCCCACCAATCATCATCATGTTTGCCTGTATGAATTTACTGTAAACTATGCCATTTATTGGATATTTTAATGATTACTCAACCACATCAATCAATCAATTTGAGGTTTAAACTAACCCTCTCACCAGTAGTCACCCAGTTAAGTTTAATGTACCTGCATCAGGAGCAGTGATTTTAACCATTAGGTGTTCTACTGCATAACCATACGTTTTTGAAGAGGCTTGTTATGCAATATGACAGCTGTGTCTGTGGAGTCCCTCTTAAACATGTCTCTCAAACTTGACCTTAACCTCTCACTGTGTTAGTTGCACATTACATTACTGATTCGAACAAAGAGTGTGTTGCAAGCTTAAACTGGAAAACAGATAATAATTAAGCACATTCAAAGGTGTTAGATTGTGGAAGTATTAAAGTATTAATTGGAAGAAATTAACAACAAATTGTCGACATTGGTGGGAACAGGAACATCCTTGGATAAATTTTTGCTTATGTCTTTTGGTTTATGTTTGTCATTTCCTGTTCTACAGAACAGGAATGAATATCTATTTCCAGCAGTCTGCGTGTGAAAACATTCATTCTGTGAGGATAAGAATGATGGCTCACACTGTACTGTATTAGCCTGGAGTTCGTAACTGCGACACAGCTTCTCTGTGTCATACGTGCCGTATCTACTGGGCATGAACGTGAGCTGACCAAACTACGCACTCATTTCAGACTTATAAAATGAACCTGACTTGTGCAGTTCTCTGATAAATCAAACAAAGCTCTTATTCATTACAAATTCCTTGATGATTAGCTCTTCCGGTTCATAGCATTTTTTGGCAAAACAGCCTTGAAGCTGATCTCACCCATGTTTACAAGAGCAGTTCCTATTGCAAAGTTTTGCATCAGACAAACCATGCGCAGCAGATTTGTCTTGTCTTGATTCTCAGATTTCTGAAAATATTATTGTGACTCACCAGGTTGGAATACGAGTTATTTTCTAATTCTCAATCACTAAGTATTTGCCATATGACCCTCAGTGTTTTGACTAGCAGCAGTATAAGTAAAAAAAAGTATAAAAAAAAATAAAGATATTATTATTAGTCATAATAGGTAGATATCATCCTTCTGAATGAAATGATAATTACTTGTTAAAATGCTTTAGTTAATATGTGAAATTTAATTATAGATGATCAAGAAAGATACCTTTATATTAAAACAACTTGTTAAACAAACGTTTATAGCACTTCCTCATTTTTAAGAAGCACTGAGGAACTGACTCAAAACAAAACCTCCCCCCCCCAAAATGGTAGTTAAATCTTATGCCTGGCAGGATGTTGGGTCAGGAAAGCTATGTTCAACTAAAACCTACGTGTTTGAGTTTTGTTTGCAAACCGTGATGCCTTTGTAATTGGGCGCTGTGAAGCTGAATTCAAATAAAAAAAGTAAACTGTAGGTGCGGTTTCGACATAAGAACTGAAGGCTTTTTTACATTTTTTGGTGTGTTTTTGTCCCCCCTCCGGGCAAGTCAAAGTAGGAGGAAGTAATGTAGTGCAAATTTTTGTGGGTGAAAATGTTTTAGTTCAAGGAAGTCAGTTTGGTTTTCCATTACATTAATGTTTGCAGACAACTTCCTCTATCCCAAACTTTCTTTATTTTCACAATCTTAATTTCCTGTTGCTGTCACAGCCGGTTGGCCAACGTCCTCGCCTGTTAGTGTGTGTGATGCCTTAGGTCATTATTTCCTCCGTTTCCTCATTGCTCTTCTTTAAACCATAAAGACAATGTTTCCCTTATCTGCTTCAGGTCATTTAAGATCAGAAAATTGTGAATAATGTCCATCCCAATAAACTGATAAACAGTCTGAAATAATTAATCACCTATCACAATAGTTGCAGATTATTTTTCTGTTGATCGACTGATTGACTATCAACTAATCATTACATCTCTAAACATGTACCTTTCTTGTTGATTGTTGGGAGCAGTTGATAGTCAAGTGCCTGAATCATTTTTTAAATGTTGGAACAGTGTTTACTAAACCACCCTTTGTTCTACTTCTTTCCAGTTAATTCACACACTTGTCGATGATGAAAAGCCCATTTTGGAGAACACTGGCATCATTTAGGGTCATAGCATTTCATTTGTTTCTATATAATCGTACCATGACCCAGTTTACAAATCTCTTAGTAACGCACCACTGCACCAAATAGTTTCTTTCAGGGTCGTGGTGGTGGACAAAAAACTTTTTGTTTAAACACAAAAGCATCAAGTCCCCAGTATAAAATGACAAAAATACTTTCACCATTAAAAACCGAACACTAACACGTTTCCATACGACGTGAAGACAAACACCTGTGTTTTGATGTGTTGCTGATTGGCTCATTAGCTCCAGGTGCTGCTAATTAACCAAACGCTATAAAGGAAACACTTGATTGTTTCAAGCCTGGAAGGAAATTAAAATCAGTTCCTGCCAACAAACATACCGTAAACATGAGGAAATTGATGTGACAGGGACACATATATAAAAACCTGTTTGTCAGGAATGTGTTTCCTGGAGCGTTTTTGACATAAACCCTTACAGATGCGTCTTTTCCTTCTGGTTATGGTCGATTTAGCGTTACGCAGAGCCTCGTCTGTTGTGGCCCTAACACAAAAAGCAGAAAACAAATCAGTGAGACTTATTATGTGCATTGTAATTGATTATTTTGAAAAGTGGAAGTTGTTTTTCCTCATACTGCACAAAAATGAAAGACAGCATGTTGTCTTCTAATTGGTAATTTGTCCTGTGATCGTAATGGCAACGATCCAAGGAATGAAATCTGTTGTTACTTTTATTAGATTTGCTGTACCGACCTGACGGCAGAGACATGGTTCTTCAGGCGGTGTGGATAGTAAATATTAACATTATTACTCCTTTATTCACCAATAAAATCAAGGACCATTTGTTAGTAAACCAGGCCCATTCCAGCTCTAACTGCCGGGTCAAAGATCATCCTTTTAGTCCTACAGGCCAAAAGCAAATCCAACAAGCGAGACAGACATTTGTGAAAGATTACTGCACAACATAACAAACTGAGCGTTCATGCTACATTTTGAAGCCTGCACCTGCCAGAGTAAAATCAAGAGCTGTTCAAAGTTTTAGGTAAAGTGCTGCATGTGTTCAGGGAGTCCTCCTTCTCTTCCACTCAGTAATTGTTAATACATAAAAACATATGTCACAGGAGGGAGTGATTCCGTCATGACTGAGATTCCTCTGGATTTTTATTTCCTGGACAAATGCAGCCTTACAATAGCAGCACACACCTTGTTTGGATTCATGCTGGACTTTCCCAGAATGTAAATAAGGTACATGTTGGAAAACTGTCCACAGAACAGTGACTAGTGTCTGGTCTGGTCTCACACACACACACTCATGGACCATTTTTAGATCCTGCAGGTTTTTTTGTGGAATAAGTTTGAACCATATGATTCACTGACAGCTGACTGTGTTCTTTGGTACAAGTGTCTGTGTCAGTTTTCGGGTTGAGCAATCCCATGAACTCGGTCACTCTGCTCCGAAAACTAGAACACAAAAGGAAAAATCCACCAGATGACTGAGCACATTCCTCGTGAGTTTCCATTTCCCAGAAGCAGGAGCCGGGAATGTCCACAGGAGCCTGCAGGAGGCAGCCGCGCTCCCTCCTCCGCTCTAAATATTTGCCCCTGAGGGGAGGGTAGGCTGGGGCAATTCACCTATTGCGTGTTAGAGAAAGTTTCAGGATTACACAATCTTCGTCTGGAGCTTTTGAATGGCACTCATTGCTCTGGTAGCTGAGTGTTTTGATCGGCACTCAGGCCTTATTGGTGGCTTGTGGTTGCCGACAATTGTTTCCCTCTGAGTGTGAAGTTGAGGCAGAACCATAAACACTTCAAATGAGCAGAGGCTGGAGTTGGTGAGATGTCTAGTTGACAGGCTGTCGGAGTGAGATGCAGGAACACAAACGCACCGCTTGAAGTTTGTACAGTGAATGGTGAAACAGCTGCCTGTTTGTTTTACCTCAGTGTTTTACAGTGATAGGAGTTTCATTTGTTTTGGAACAAGATCCACACACTGTTGGTGTTTGAAACTGGATCATTTTTAGGTTAAAGTTTCCTTTTGAAGGCTTTGAAATGCAGGATCTTTGATTTATTCGATTTATTTTATCATCTTGTGATTTAAAATTGGGGCTTAAAACTTAATAATCACAAGTTGGAGATTCATTTTTGCATTTCTCTCTATAGATCTTTTTTGTGTCTCTCTCGTCTGTGTTTTTGCACTTTGTTTTGCTCCTGCTGGATTATTATCTAGAGAGTCGAAATCCTAAAATCTGAACGACATGTTTCCATGATGCTGGAAATGCAAATCATTCTGCAACACTTTGCCGACCATCTGTAAAAACTAATTTGGCTGAATGTCATCATTTATTCTACGCATCTATGTTTGTTCCTCTCTCCCTCTCTCCAGACTCGTATGCAGAGCCTACATCCCGAACCGGGGGCGCGCTACAGGAACGTGATGGACGCCCTGCGGCAGATCGTGCGGACAGAAGGCGTGTGGCGGCCGATCAGAGGCGTGAACGTGCTGGCGGTGGGTGCGGGGCCCGCCCACGCTGTCTACTTCGCCTGCTACGAGAAGATCAAGTTTTCCCTCAGTGACGCTATTCACCCGGGCACCAACAGCCACTTTGCTAATGGTGAGACGTCTCCCAGCAAGGTCCATGTGAAGTTTTACTTTTCATTTGCGAGGCTCAAATTCTGCAGTTACTTCCTTTTTTTTTGTTAAAATTGAACTGAAAGAGACGGAACATGGACTGAAGGGTTAAATGTTAATACGACTGGAAAACGTTGCAGTTTAATGTTGGTAAAAAAAAAAAAAGAAGCCGTTTTTTTAACAGCTCACATGATAAGAATATAAATGTCAGTCTGGGGTTAATGGAGGAGGAAGGAAACTTGACAGCATCTCCTGGTTGAAGCTTTAACTTCCTATTTTCTGTGCTCTGCAGGGGTGGCGGGCTGCATGGCCACAGTGCTGCACGACGCCATGATGAACCCAGCCGAAGGTAAAACCACACGGCTCTCTCTCCCTCTCTCTCTCACACACACACACACACACACACACACACACACACACACACACACACTGAAGCGTGGTGCATTCTGCTCAGTTAAGACATCGTGTAGCTCCAAGTTCTCAACCTCCTTCAAAGGCCTCAAAAGAGAATCCATCAGGTGGTGCAGTTCTGCCGTCAGGTCACAAGGTGGAGCTACAGAGTCAGCTGTGAGCCGGGAAGCCAGATGTTACTACAGCAAACGATGATGATTCATACTGATCATGTTTCTTCAGTATTTACAGACTTCTAAAAAAATAACATGGAGCACTCTCAGTGACTGACTGACCTCCTCTCTAGTGTCACCGTCCCCCCGGTTCTTCTTCAGGTTCCTTCTCTGGCTGCAGTCATGTAAATATAATCTGTTTTCTCCTTCCTAGTTTCCTCTCCTTCACCTCGCCTCCTCTTTCTTTTCCTTTTTAAGTTGTGAAACAGCGAATGCAGATGTTCAACTCTCCTTACCGCAGTGTGTTGGACTGCATGGGTTCGTTGCTGAGGCGCGAGGGCCCCGCCGCTTTCTACCGCAGCTACACCACCCAGCTGACCATGAACGTGCCCTTCCAGGCGCTCCACTTCATGACCTACGAGTACCTCCAGGAGCTCCTCAACCCCCACAGACAGTACAACCCCTCCTCCCACGTCGTGTCCGGCGCGCTGGCCGGAGCCCTTGCCGCCGCCGCCACCACTCCCCTCGACGTCTGCAAGACCCTCCTCAACACGCAGGAGGCTCAGGCTATTCACGTGATCCAGGCCGAGGCGGCGACGGCAGCCGGAGCGGTCGGGGCGGCCGCCGGCAGCCGCCACATCTCTGGCCTGGGCGAGGCTTTTCGGACGGTGTACAGGATGGGAGGCGTGCCGGCTTTCTTCAAGGGCGTCCAAGCCCGGGTCATCTACCAGATGCCCTCCACGGCCATCAGCTGGTCAGTCTACGAGTTCTTCAAATACATCATCACCAAGCGGCAGCACGAGAGACGGCTGCGCGGAGACCGTGACGGTGACAAATAAACATCTGGCAGGAGGATTGAGCGTCAGCAACACAAAGGTTTATTGCACCGTACCGGTCACTGGTGTCGGTATCGATCTTACATCTGAAGGTTTGAAAAAACAAAACAAAAAAAAAACAGAATTTAGGTTCTTAAAGCAGAAGGTCAACTTTTATGTTGTTTACTGAGATCAGTTAAAAACAGTGGGATCTAGTTCATAGCAGATGAGGACATGAACAGCTGTGAAGAGACATGTCTTTTATTAGGCGTGTGGATTAAAGGTCCATCACTGCCCATCCATAAGAGGAAGTCCTGGTTCCATGAACCTGCCCCGTTAAAATCTGATTCTTTGCTTTCAAAAAGCAGGTCGTTAATGGAGGCTAATAAGTAAAAGTTAAAGTTGAGTTTGTCCCTTTGAACAAAGACATGCTGACTTCCTCTTGACCACCTACAGAGCTGTTTGTTAGCTTTAGACAGACGCTGAACTCCCGCACACTGGATTAAAGAAACCATGACTCTGAGGTCAAAGTGCTGACTGAGCTTCAACTCCACAGTGTTTACTTTCACACTTAATGAACTGTGTTGAAATTGTAGCCTTTTTATACAGACCCCCCCCAAAAGGTCAGAAAGTCCTCCACTGACCAACTTAAAGATGAAAGTCGCCACTTTAACCTCACAGTTGTGATCCACTGTGTTGGAGCACGGAGCCTAAACAAAGAAGTATCTCAATCCAAATACTGTAGAACTGTAAACCAGGTTCACGCCCTCTCTCAACTGCACATGTTGCACCTCTGAATAGTATTAAAACCGTGTTACCTTCTGACCACAGGGGGGCGCACAGCTCCGCCGCTGTACTGAACAGTGGAAAAACAAATGGATTTTACACAGTCAGCAGTATTGGATTAGACACTTGTGCTGGTGTACAGGAACAGTAACACTCTCCTCAAGAGGAAGGAACATTAAAAAAAAAAACACACAAGTTAAACACGGCGGTAAATTACTGAGATCCCTCTCTCTCCCTGAGGGCGACGCAGCCTGTAAGTTACTCCTCGTTTTTATTAGTGATGGATTGAAAAACGCTCGAGTATTCAACCCTTGAGCGGAACAGGTGTGTGAGTGTACGCGTGCACGTGTGTTACGTGATTTGCGTGAGTTGAAATTCGGTTTCTGATCTCAGCGCGGCCCCCGACTCCGCTGTCCGCTGTTAATCCCACAAGAACACGGCATCGTAAAGTAAAGAGGAGTCCGACTGCTGGTTCATTTTTAAATGAGATTTTCATTCTGAAACATTCATCATATGGACAGTGTCACTGTCAGTAAAGCAGAAATGATGCAACATATTTTTTGAAAGTCCTTGTTTTACAAAATTTCAACACTTCAACAAACTGGAAATGTTGATGTTTCGTACAGAGAAGTGTTTGTAAACTAAGGAGCTGCACACGTACGTAGGTTTTGGAACAAGAATCTTTTTATCACAGGCAGAACAAAAAAGGAAAGAGTGTTCACCTTAGACAATCACTTTTTTGTTTCAGTTTTATTTAGTTTTCATTGTTTAACGCACAGCATCATAGCACTTAAGAGCAACTTCTTTATCTTTGTTAGGACTTTGACACCAGTACGGAGAATACTGACTACTTCTACACATGCCTTCAGTTAGCCGCCATACATCCAACGCACAACTACTACAAAGAGATCCTCAGATATAGAGATAATATTGTGTTTTGAAGCCATAAAACAAGAAAGAAAAAAAAACAATTGTACCTATTAAATAAATATATATAAATATGGGCAAATATAAACAAACCCAAAATCTCTAACCAGCTAAGTTTTGGAGCTAACTTGTATGTTGAAATGTACAAATATGAAACTGTACGAGTTTTATGAAACAACGCTGTAAAAAATAAAATAGAATTAAACAAAAGCAGGTTTTTGTAGAAAGCGCACAAAATCCTCATCTGGAAGGAAGCAAAAAGGAAAACCTGGATTAATTTAAATTGAGACAGACCATATATGTGGGGGTGTGTGTGAGAAATAAAATGGATAAAGAGTATTTAAAAATGATTGTAGGAGAGTTCCTCGTGTTAAGCCAAGTTTCAACATCAGGAAACCAAAGACTGAGAGCAGCGGGGACGAAACAGGAGAGGAAGCGGTGGTTTGTCAGAAGACGACACTAATGTGAAAATGCTTGAACACTGTTTGAAAGCGACACCTGTATTTTGTGAAATTGTAAATAAACTCGCTAAGGCAGCTCCTCGCAGAAGCAGGGTCTTCTCTTGGTGCTGGCTCTCCGAGCGCTGAGAGAACTGAAACCTTTTGTCTGCTGGTCTTACTTTTCCTCATCCTCATCCTCTCTTTCAGCAAGACGACGACGACGGGCGGCGGCCGCGGAGGTCAGGAGGCAGAGCGGGTCGGTGGTTCGATCCCCGTCTCCTCCGGGCCCCCCCCCCCGCTGCCCCGTGTGGCTGTTCCATCAGTGTGCGGGTGCGGTGCGTGGATGTGTGAGTGAATGGGTGAATGTGGCAAGTGTTGTAAAAAGATCTTTGAGAAAAATTAAACCATTTATTATTTAAGATGCAACAAAAAAAAAAAAAAAGCCCAAGAGAAACTTCATGGATTGAACTTCATTGATCAGTCGATTTGTGGATTAATTGAATCATTAAAGTAATTTTCGAGCAAAAGATGCTAAAATGTTTCTAGTTTCAGCTTCTCAAATGTGAGGATTCACTGCTTGTCTTCTTCTTATGACAGTGAACTCAATATCAAAACAAGCAAACTCAACACATCACCTGGGGCTCTAAGCAATTGTAAATGCATTTTTTTAATAGTTTATAGTCTAAGTGGTTTAATCAGTTAAATGAGGAAATATTCTTGGTCCCAAAACACTTTAAAAAGCACGATATTAATAAATACCATTTGATTAACTGATAAATGAGCAATTTGTTCAATTTAATTAGGATTAGCACATTTTTATATCTTCTGTGATGGAAGATGAAATATCTTTGGGGTTATTTGACTGTTTGCCAAAGGAAATTAACTTTTTGCAATGCAACTGTCACAACCAACCAGCAGGAGGCGCTAAAACAGAGACGACGGCCACAGGACGCCTTCACTGACCGGTTGGTACCAACACATCTCAGCAAATTCATCAAAACCAATAGAAAGGATGTGTAAAACTTTATTGATAAAACACAGGTTGGATTAATAATAAATAAAAGATGTACAGGACAATGATAATTTACTGCAGTGTTGAAATGTTTTCCTTAAAGCGGGAAATACGTCTATGGAAGATCAGAGATGACATGAGTAAAACTGGTTTTAAAATTCTAATAATTTTTGTTTTATTTTTTACTTTTATAAAAAAAAAAAAGTTGATAAATTGAAAAAAATATCTGGTTCCAGCTTCTTAAAATAAGAGTTTTTCTGTTTTATATTTTAAATTTAAGATCTGTTTATAAAACAAGCACGTTTGACATAAACTTGGGCTCTGAGTTTCTGATGGTCAATTTTATCTTTTTTTGTAATTAATGGATTAATGTAATTAAACTGAATGAACTCCGGTCTCGCCCTTACCTGCCCATATGAAGTTTATCTTCTCATAAATTAAAAAACATCACAAAGTCTTTATTTGGTCAGAAACATGATGTAGTTATTTTCTGATGCCAGTGTGAGAGAAGTCTAATTACGCGATCTTCATCAGCGACACTTTAATGAACCATGTGTTACAGTCACAGGATATTTACCTGAGGTGCTGCTGGTTGAAGACTCTGCGGGGAAGCACAAGCGGACCTGACAGAAAGCACCACCTCCGTCTTCCTCCGTCTTCCCCTCCGCAGCAGCAGATCCTGTTTCACTCGAGGCCCCATGTTTGTTGTCATTCCCCCGCGGCCTACAAGCTAAAATGTTGTCTTTCATGTCTCCTGTCTCACTTTACTCCCCCCCCCTCCCTCTGCCAACTCTTTCCTCCCTCTGTTGTTCCTTTCCAGCGTCGGTGCTCTGAAACGTAAGGTGATCCATTTAGTCCCGACAGGAAGGTCTTGGCAAGTGAGGTCAGGCCTCGTCTGGAGGGCGCACGGCAACAGGTCTGGTCAGAGCCACGGTCAACATCAGGCGTGTGTGTGTGTGTGTGTGTGTGGATGAAATACAAAGACAAATGAGGTGACAGACACCCGACTCACATTCTCCTAATCCTTCAAAATGGACGTCCAGAGAATGTATGTGTGTATGTTTAGTTGGAAAAAGACAGAAGAAGAAGAAGAGATTTGGACCAACAGCAGCTCTCCTGCTGCCGTCCGCCGGGTTTGATAAATGGTGTGTTTAAATGTGGGATGAGTTTCTAATCTCTCCATCGGTGACGCTCGGTCTGCAAAGCCACACAAATATAGGCGATCCCGCGCTTCATATAACTGTAAAGATTTGTATAAACAGCATTAATCACAATTCAGTTTGGCAATGTGGCATGTCGCGGCGTTAGTGCCCCCACGTGCTCGCCGCTTTATGAAATGTCATGTTTTACAGTTGGGCCACTCCAGAGGAACACACCCTGAAAACCCACCGGGGGATGATGAATGTGTTCGCACGTGGTGATGAATTACCCCTCCACAGCCCAGCTCCACTTAACTAGCCTGCGATTTACTCATCTTGGTGCGTCTTTTATCACATGACTTGATATATATTTGTCAGGTGAGATTTGAATCTTTCATATTTACTGAAATAAAATATGAGAGTGCCGCCAATTTTTCGGAAACTTGTTTTACCGCTCAAGTCTTTTCCAGCTCTTCCTCGTTACCATCGACTGATTGGTTCATTGGTTTGTTTGTCCATCACTTTTCTCCACAGGGAAATGAATATTCGTGATCCCCAGAGGATAAATCCCAATAACTAACAATCACTGGTGATTCCCCCGACCTTTCCCTGCAGGCCCAAACACTTCGGTTCACTTACTCTTATGATTTTCGTCTCGTGCTTCGTGCGAGAACCAGGCGACCAAACAGATCTGTTCTTCAGTGGCACGTGTGAGTGTTTTGAGAGAGTTTTTCTCGTACATGCAGGTACAGGTAACATCACCTGCTGTAGCTTGTCATATTCTCTAAGTCGAATGTCGTCATCTCATTAATTCCTTTGCTTTAAAAAGACGTTGGGTTTTTTTTTTTGAGCATCTGACTTCATGAAGCTTTAATCAAACCTTCCTCTGGCGCAGAACACTTACTAACACTTTCTAGTTCTACCGGCTCGTTCAGTACGACTACTTGAAGCTCCGCAGCCCGAAATTCTGTTTCCTCTTTTGGGACAATTTTGTGAATGAAACTTTCCCACAAACGAAGTGGAGCAGCAGCGTTGGGACATGGATTATTCATCAGCCTAAAAAAGGAGCCATTTATGACAAATTTGTGTGTTTACGAGAGTTTGGTGAATCCGAGTTTGAACATTTTTATGAACAAAACTCAGAAAAAAAAACTTATTTTGGGACAAGAATGCGAAAATGTTTTTGCACGAGGCCCAATGACGATGTCAGCATGTCCAGCAGCTTAGTTTCTTAGTTTCCTCCTCTGGGCGACATGAGTCTACGTTAAAAAATGTCAGTGCAATTTACCTGATAGTTAGTTGAGATATTTTAGTGATGGACTGACTGACAATGTTTACCATTTTATTTTTAGCATGCTAGCGTGCTAAGAGTGCTGATTAGTGTTCAAACATAAAGTAAACAACTGAGAATTTTGACCCGATGATGGTGCGAGACAGAAGAGTTCATCCCTCCACAGTTCATCCTCTGGGGAGCACGAATGTCTGAACTTCAGTTAGAAAGTTTAAAAAAGCACGAATGTCAACCTCGTGGTGGCGCTAGAGGACAAATTAGGGGGACCACCAAAGTCAGGGAGGTTCATCACGTCGGGACCATGAATTTTTCTGCAAAACCTCATAGTGATCCGTTCAGTATTGGTTGAGATATTTCAGTCTGGACCAGCCCATGAACTCTGCAGCCTCTTGGAGTCGTTTACTGCTTTTTAAAGGAAAATACATGAAGGTTTATTTATTTAGATTCGATGTAATTCTACTCACCAGATGCAAAATATACAGTAACAGGATGCGATGGTGCTGATCAGCTTGTGAAGCAAGAGAAAGGCTGATAGTAAAACCAAGTGTTGAAGATTTAAACATGTAGTAGACGAACGAGAACATTTGCGTATAGAAACAGAAAATGTACTTTTCCACCTGCTGATGCAAAAGAATCACTATTTTCTTTTTTCCATATTCATTTCTGAAAAAAGTTGTAACTCACAGCTGGTGGAAGACAGAAAGTAAAAACACATTTCACTCTCAGTTTGAGTCGTGCTGCGACGCTTGAGAAAATGCAGCCCAGCTCTCAAAATCTACCCGGGTATTCAGGGAGTGGCATTAAAGCTACATGGTATTAGCCCATTAAGCTAATGTGAGCTAATACATGTAAAAATACACGGACACAGAACGAGCAACGCATTCTTCCCTGGGAGGATCATCATGTACAGTGTGTAGTGTTTACCAAAGGCTTTTTATTCTTTATCACCCACTTGAGGGCCTTGAGTCTGAGTTTTGTGCCACACCCTGTCCTCGGGTGAAGGCCTATGTCTTCGCTGTTGAAATGTCTGTTAGCACCCATGGGTGTAGGGGACACCAGACGTTTGCCTGTCAACATTTATTTTTCTTTCTGGAACATATATTTGGATAAATCTGTTCTTCATACTGCACCTTTAAGTTTTCCTGGGAGAACCGTGATCTCGTAATTGTTGGTTAATCAGCTTTATCGGTTTTGATTTAAGTGCCTTGCTCAAGAGGCACCTGGATATCAGCTGCTGACGGAGGCCAAAGCGTTACTCATTCATTTCTCCTGCGCAGATTTTCCCAGCTGCTGCAGGACTCAAATTAATGAGCCTAATGATTTTTAGTGAGACACGCACTGCAATTTATGTGTGTTATTGTAAACCCTGACAGTTTAGGATAAATCTCTGTGGGTAGCATTGGATAAACACCAGTATACTCGTGTATCTTCCCAGAAACATAATGTTTTTGACCCAGAAAGCTGCACCAGTGAATGGATAAATGTGGATCACAGGATAAATATTTAGATATCTCCGGCTGATGGACGAGCCTGAGTCGTTCTCTTGGCTGGTCTTCCTCCCGTCTCCCTCCCCAGGACACGGGAAACCAGTTTAAAAAGACATTTCCAAACATCCACGTCCATTGCAAAATCTATTACGCTGACGTCAGTAAGCATTACATGTGAGCTGACGGAGAAGACACTGTGCAGTCTCCAAAGAGCACTTTACACTAAAGC